TTGCTGCGTGGCATTCAAATCACGTGTGTTGCAGAGTGCCCTCTGTTGGACAAACTATGCAACGTCAACTACTACATTTTTTGCAGACCCCCACATGGAACTTTTTTTTTCCCTAAGAATTTGGTAAAAGATGCAGTGGGTATTTTAATAAAATAATCAACCACAACTTTAAAGCCATCTGCCTAACACTGAGTATGTTACTTTGCACCTACAAAAAAGCTCCAACAGGTTGGTGCATGGAAACGAGACATCTGGGAATTGTCCTTTGGCGTCTGGCACCAGGACGGTGGTAGTAGATCCTCTGGGACCGGATAAAGACCTTCAGCAATGTGGCAGAGGTGCCGTTGCTCGTAATAACATCTAAAGGAAAGCCAAACCAGAAGATTCTGCAGCTGAACTTTGTATTGCAATGAGATCATCAATGTTGTGGCGGGCTGGCATAGTTTCGCCCAGCTTCCAGCAGACTCGAGGTCTAATCTGAAAACAACCAAGAGCATACAGGACCTTTCTGTTTGAAGGGGGTGTTTTTGTTTAGTTTGGATTCATAGCAGCAGCTGTAGAATGCATTTGTGCTTCATCTGTGTGAATTACAGTAATGTAACTATATTCAATCATACTCAGTGCCCCATGTAGGCATTAAATCAACTGTATAATGCAGGATTAATCTGATATGTGAGAGATCTTTATGTGCAGTGAATCGTAGGGTATTTAAAAGTGAATTTACAGAGAGCTCGTGGTTTTGTTTCATGCTAGGATGGAGTCGTTCCATTTAGAGACCAAAATAAACCAAAGCAGACAACTTTTCGAGAACTGCATCACTGTAGTAATTGATGCCACCGGTCTAGTGTCTACTGTGCGTTAAGTTTGCGCACTCAGACTGGATAAATAAGCCATTCCCTTTGTGACACAGTCTGCACTCTGTCAATGTCCTTGTTCTGCACAAGCCTGAACCGAGCGAGGAGGATGCTTCAAAGACACACGCTGCCCTCTGCTGTCAAACACACAACATGCACTCTTTCTCCCCTCAGTGTCTGCTCTGATATTAGTGCACATTAAAGAGGAAAAAGATGGTGGGAGGGTGTGGACGTGAAGTGGCGTTACTTCTCTTTGCTGCACGTTGTGCTACCTCAGCTCCGTTTAATGATGCCTTTCAGTTAAGGTGCCGGGTGGATTTATCCAACGTACCTCACAGGGTCGGGCAAGGATCAAACGTCGGGGGGATTACTTATCGAGGTGGGTCTGTTATCTACTCTGACGGCTCTCGGCATTAAATCGGATCTAAGAACATGCTTTTATTTTATATAAAATTAAGATTACTCACAAAATCTCTAATTTTCATAACACCGATTCTCTTTTGACGCAGAGGTTTTTGATTAGAAAGTGAGTATAGCTTTTAAGCACGCTTCTGTCTTTAGCCGGGGGATTATTTAAACAATTCTCTGATCTTTTATCAATCCAACATTTAAACTTTGAGCCCACTTTTACCTTAGAATGAACACACGCGAGGTGAAATACCATGAAATATCAACACTGCTGATCTCGGTGAGACCTTTATGTTGGGAAAATGAAGTTTTTAGGAATCCTGTGTTGCATCTGACGAGTTTTACAGCTTGCCAGCAAATCCAAGTGTTTAACAGTTTTTCTGTTAACACCTACGGAACAGTGCATTCAGTCTGACGGATCAGTCCTGTCTAACGAGGACCTATGAAAGAGGCAGAGGCAAGAGGTGGGAGGAAGACAGGGAGGAAGAGAGAGAGGCATGGAGAAGAAAGGAAAACACGGAAACTCAACAGGAATCAGAAGAGAGAGAAAAAGCAAGAGGGAGGCAGGAAGAAACTGAAATAGAAAGTAGTCC